TATATATATATATATGCAATTATGCTGCTTGACAAGTTGATAAGCATTATCCCCACAACTGTAACCTTGCACGTCTAATCCAACGGTACTCTGGCAACAAAGTTGTAACTACTGTATTATAACTATAAACAAATTATGCACAGTACAATTACTGTACGTCAGATTTAGCTCCCTGACCTAATTCAGATTGTTTTCTACAAGCAGGGCCAAAAAAGTCTGCCAAAGTCCTGGGAGTTTGGTCACTCTCAGCACTTCAGTCAGCAATTGATGTTTTCCTTGAACCTTTGTTAGAGCTTGGCTGAATGCTGTCACTGGACTTTTCCAGTGTGAGAAAATGGCATGGCAGGGTTCAGCTGTCATCATGGGTCACCAGGGAGAGTAGCTCCCTAGCTGGCCATCCAGAGCATCTAGCATTCAGCTTGCCTTGGCTGCTAACAGCGCCTGTCCTGGCAAGGGCAGAAGTGTTAAATATAGAGCTATACTTTTAGCCTTTGTGATTCTGGGCAAAAAGTGTAGAGTGGGGCAGTGAAGGATGGAACTGAGTAAAAAGATTTGGCCTTGTGACAAAGGACATCACGCTGCACCTCTGCCTTTCAGTCAGTGAGCAACAGAGGGAAAAGAATAACGCATGCCTACATCTGTCACCCCCCTTTCTAACACTTATTCCCTCACACTTATCAACTGACTTCTCGAAGGCATAGGAGAGAAAGAAAACGAGTGCTGTGTTTTAGAGTGCTATGCAGAGCAGAAGTGGATAGGCTATGAGAGTGAAAGAGGGAGGGTGAGAGAGGGGGAAGTTATATTACACTCCACCATACCCCTGCTGACCTGAAGAACTGAAAGAAATGACAGAGAGAGAGAGGGAGAGAGAGAGAGAGAGAGAGAGGGAGAGAGCAGACACTGAGATGACTCTTGGCACCACTCAGTAGCGGACACCACAAGTGGACCACATAAAGCCAGAGGATTTTAGTGGATACTCCATAAGGGAGATCCTTTTTCTAGGATTATTCTGAGTGTCTACTAATTGCTTAAACCTGGGGACAACATAACAGGTAAGCCTGCTTCTCCTAAGTCTTATATAATGAAAGTGGTCCCTGTACTGCTTGCTCTTGTGTGGGAAACAGCTGGGAGCCATGTGCTTCTGGAACAGCAGGACTTATCAGCTGTTCTGCTTTCAGACTAAAATACAGGAAAAGGTTCAGGTGCAAGTGCTGTAGCTGAACTGTCATCACTTTTATGAAGCTAATAAAAAGCACAGGTTGAAAGAAATTCACACTCTTGATGTGAATTGAGCTGTTTTTGAACCATATGAATAGAACAACTGTTCACTGAAGACATAATTAATTCAGCCTAATCTTTATACATTCAAATATGGATTTCTACACTTTGCATTAATTACTCTACTTCACAGGAAGACAAGTGAATACTCTTAGGTCTTCATGGCATTGTGATAATACACACAGTACATCTTATATTACTGCATGAACAAGACCATTTAGTGTGAAGGCTTTTGTGCTTTGCATGTGGGAGGAGAAGCCCACATCTTCAGCAGACAACAGGGGTGACGGTGCCCTGAGACATAAAGAATGTAGGCGGAAGAGATGTAATCCAGCTCATTCATCAAGTCAAGTTTGAGAATGATATTCTCTCTATACGCACAAACATGTAACCCTGTTACCCTGTAGCTCCCACTATTGCACTTTCTGGTACTCACGTCTGACACATTACACAAAGTGTGAATCCATACACCACTGCTTAACATTTAGAAGCTTAGCAGGCCTGCTCGGGCTGCAGGAGGGTGACAAGTTTCATCTTGAATATTTATGGACTATAATAATGCCTAAATAAATTCCATTGCATCCACATGAGGTCATCTGGCTTCTGGAGGAGGCATGACTCCTGCTAACCACTGTCCATTAGTCCATTCACACATCACCTTGCCTCCTTACATCCATCCATCCATCCATCCATTTTCCTCCGCTTTTCCGGGACCGGGTCGCGGGGGCAGCAGTCTAAGCAAAGATGCCCAGACTTCCCTCTCTCCAGACACTTCCTCCAGCTCCTACAAGGGGATGGCCCAGGAGGCATCTGAAACAGATGCCCGAGCCACCTCAGCTGGCTCCTCTCGATGTGGAGGAGCAGCGATTCTACTCTGAGCTCCTCCCGGGTGACCAAACTCCTCACCCTATCTCTAAGGGTGCGCCAGGCCGCCCTACGGAGAAAGCTCATTTCGGCCTCCGTTATCCGGGATCTTGCCCTTTTGGGCAAGTACCTCCTTACAAAGAAAAGAAAATGTATCTGATTCACAATTGGGGGACATTTAGTGTAGGTGTGGCTTAGGCTGCTGTCAGCATCCAGGGTCCTCTTTCTCTGTTTCCCATTCTCAAGCTGATGACACCCCTCTACACTCAGTGATACCACCACTGAAACAAGAGAATGGTGCAGAGATGTTACACATTAACATTTTTGTGCATGTTCCAGCTTTAGCTAGGCGCATCCTCTCTCCCTAGATACACAAGTTGGAAGATCTGTGGCACTCAATGAGCTAAATAGCCACTTGAAAAGTGGTAGTTATCAATCCCAGCTTATAAATGAATCAGTCTTACTGTAAATCAATAATGCAACCTCTGTTTAAACTGAAACCAAACTGTCTCAGCTTGGCTGCTTGCCAAAGCAGCATTGATTTGTGATGCACTAAATGTGTCACTGGCTTACCTCATGACATTACTATTGCTCTGTGTCACTTGACCTGCTGCCTGTACAGAAGGTGATGTGATCTAACTGTGAAATGTACTGTTGTCGTCATGCAATGAACTTTATCTTAGTGGCAGTGTTTAGTAGTCCCAGTATTTAACTGACAGTGTAGCACCCTGACTTGATCATCAGAAACGTCTGTGTGCACGCACAGAAACGCCGTACAGTTTATGGTGGAGCTCATGGCTCTCAGTAGTTCCAGTCTTCCCCGTACTTCTGGTGGCCTTCAACATCACATTGACAGCTCTAGTTGTATAAGGGCCTCTGGCCTTGAATTCCAAAAATGCAGTTCAGACACATTTGGATGTTTCACAGAACAGTGGCACTGATAACTCAAACTCCCTTGGTTTAAAAATAAGTCTTTAAAATCCATAGCAATCCAAGATCTTCACAACATCATTCCATATGTACAAGATGGCAAAGTGTACAGCACTTGCTATAAACAGTAGGTTGATTGTTAATTAGTTCTTTGCATATTATACTAGCGGGGCCATTCATGTAGGGATAATCTGCGTGTTGAAAATGCTTCAGGTTCATCAGGGCTATCTCACAGCACATTAAACACTACATAATTTTAGCAGGAAGACTCTGGTTTGATGAAAGAGACACTTGAAGTCCCACAGAAGAGTCCAATCCCACCATCTCTATCCATCCCATGCTTTTCTCCTCTCTTTTTGGAGAGGAAGTAGTGTCATAATCATGACTTTTCCACAGGACTGATGTGTGATAACGACACCCACCCAGTGATGTCACTGAGTTGGAAAAACAGCCATGTTTATTGAAAGCACTAAGATAGGGATGACTCATCGCTAGGGTTGACTCTATATTTTTCCTGCCTGAAAAAATGTGCTTCATTGTTTTTATAGCTAGCTTTTATCCTTTGTGTAAAAGGTAAACTACAAACAAAAAGCACAGTCACATAATACAAACACTCACCTACTGTACAAAACTGAAATAGTGTGGTTAACCAATAATAATGTGGTTACATTATTATTCCAAGCTGTCCAAGCACTGTGATCTCTTTACTAGCTGACCAAGAGCCTACGTTAAGGCTGTGGGACCAGCCATAACATTATGACCACTGACAGGTTGACTGTCTCATTACAGTGGCACCTGTCAGTGTGTGGGGTATATTAGGCAGCAAGTGAACATTTAGTCCCTAAAGTTGTGTTGTGTGTAAGTTGTGTTGGAAGCACGTCTCCCTGTTTATCAGTGAAAAGTGTAACTACTAAAGCTACAGTAGGCTCAAGTGAAAGGATCATGTTGATGTGACACCAAGTGAATCCTACTAAATGAAACCCATCGCCTATGCTGACATTTTGATCCAGCTTAAGGTGCCAACACTAAAGTTAGTGTTGTTGTGATGTGCAGTATTAATAGAAGCCATTGCCGTAACAAGACAAGCTGTAAACGCTTGAGTTTTTGTCCATGAAGGCTTTTTGGCAGGTCAATTTAGCACTGGCCAAAATAAAAAAAAACTCCTGATAAGTTGAACTCTCAGGGAAAGTGAACATGTCTGAGTTAGTGGATAAGCAGAAAAATCATTCATGACTACAAAAGGGATGTGAGTACAACTATAATCATTTAGTTTCTGAAATGTAATTATTCCTCAGGTCAAGGTGACTGGTTTCATCAGACTATCAGTCCAAAACCCAACGAAACTTAACCTTAAGTAAAGCTAAACACAAAAAAGCAGCAAATCTTCACAGTTGAGAAGCTGATATCAGTTGTAATGTGTCATATTTGCTTGATTAAACATCTGAACCAATTAATTATTGCAATTTTTGTTGACCACCTCATTGTTTCAGCTCTAAAGCAGATCATCACCGGGATAATGAAGTTTAAGATAGGATAAGATAATAAGATAAGATAATTAAACATTTTGGTCTATTAGATGCTTTGAGCAAATGCACTTTCAGACCAAAGATAAATTCGTACAGTGAACATCAGTGGTGACAAAATGTTGTAGTCTCTTTTTTCACTTTGGAATGCAGGCACGTGTTTTGGTGTGGGCTATAAATTCTCATATATGTGACAGCTGGAATGGCCCAAACCATGCAGTAGAGTTGGGGTCCCACTTTAAATTTAGGCCCAGGCCTTGACTGGGATCTTGCTGGGTATTAGGCCATCCTTTCATATTAGAAGACATCAAGGTTTTAGATGTCGGTGGCCTAGTTCTGGTGGCTTAGATGCCATGAATGTGTGTGGGCATTGTGGCAAGTTGGTCCAGACCTCAGGGTAAAGGCTTATTTTCTGCTAGTACTTCTTTACTTTCCATAAAGACAACTGGGAATGTTGCATGCCAGACTGGAATGCAAGCCATGTGGCTCAGGAATCCCCATTTGTTCCTCTGGGGAATTCACTACAGTCAAGACTACAGTAACATGTCAAGGTGGATCGAACAGTGGAGACATCACATTGAGGACAGAGACTTGTCATCAGTGGCTTTGGTGAGGGATATACTGTATATATGAACTTATTTGTTTTTAAGGTAAAATTAACGTGTCAGGGGACACACCAATATGATAATGTATTTTACTTGAATTTCATACAGTGTGCAATAAAGAAAAAGCAATATTTGTGTGTTGTTGTTGTCACTTTCAGGGAGACAAGGTAGCGAATATGATTTGTAAGATTTATGTGTGAATCTTTTCTAAATTCTTCACTTTTACTGATCTTTGACACGCTCACTCAGTCAGTTTAATACATTTATACGGCGCGTCTTCCTTTTTGTTGATTCGACAGCTATTCTTACACTCACGCAGGCAGATGTCAAATATAACTACAAACACACCCACACGCTTTCGCTCACAGGAGTGACACCACAAAATGAGGTGAGCTGTTACAGTAGCTTCTCTGGATTTTCATGGCATCAACCCAGAAATTAAAAATAAACTACGGAGTGCCTAACAACCATTTTGTCACCCGTGCCAGTTACGGTAGCGCACATGTTTCTATCTTTCATCACTCTCTTGCCACAGTAGTGCTTCGTTTAATGCGCTCCACCCCTGGGAGTTATTCAAACTCCCTGGCACTGCTTGAATGGTGACATGAACACTATAAGCACTTACTGCTGTACTACGACATTTGACTCAGTGATAGCGAGCCTACAGCTGAAACTAATAGTTATGGACAGCAAAGAAGGCACTGTGATTAATCTCCATCTATGAACAAGATCTCCTTGGAGCCAGTGTGCACCCACTGAACTCCCAGAACTAAGATAAGGAATGTAATTAATGTGTTGGTTTGTCAGATTTTCTTTCTTTTCTGTTTGAACTGAGAAATGCAGTTGCTGTTATCTTGCACTCTTCCCTCTCATGTGCTGGGGTCTTTTTCCTAGAAATAGGTAGAATTCAAAGAGACTGGCTTTAAACATCATTAGACGTCATTGCTGTCTTAATGTCTCTGACTGTTAAAGCACATGATAAACATTTTCTTGATGCGAACTGAAACCTTCTATGACAGCTAATTCACTTTTATCGTCTTGTTTTAATCTAGACTGACTCAAATGCTTGTTGATGTTGAACCCTGGATCTCTCAGATTGCAGCATGTCGCTGTGAGATTATCTAGACACGGTGTACTGTGTGTGTATACACACAGTTTGTGTTTTGTGTTTGCTGTTACATGCATCCAGTCGCACTAAAGACTAAAGTATTCATGACATTTTGACAAACTTGCTCAGAATGTCTCAACATGTGATTTAGAAGTCAGGGTGCTATGACATCATCAGCATGCTATGGAGGGGATTTTGGGGGCCGAACATGTTTTTCCGTTTGTAACTTTTAAAAAAGTGCTGTTGATTCATATTTGAAACTGATCACAAAGAGGGCACTTGGTAAGTGACTCAAGTCTTTTGTTAGAGGCCTTAAACACACATATGCATGTATTTTAACATGTTCACAAAGAGAAGCAAACACAA